ACGTCACCCGGCCCTGCGGCCAGATCCACCGCCTGCGCCGCAGCCGCCGCACCTCGGGCGCCTGCACCTCGCGCGCCTGCACCTCGAGCGCCTGCACCTCTGGCGCGCGCGCTCGGCGCCGAGCGCGCGCGCTCGAGCGCCTGCACCTGGCCGTGCAGCTGCCACGGGGCAGCTCCTCGGGCAGCAGCCAGGCGCCCAGCGGCCGCCTGGCGCGCCGCCTCCCTCCGCTCGTGGCGCACTGGCCAGAGAGCTTGGCATCGCTCGGACGTGTGCATTTTTCTTTCGGCGGGGACCAGCTAAGAACATCCTTGATCATTTGGCGAAAAAGCCACGCGCGAAACCGAGAAAAAAACACACAGGGAATGGACGTCCGAGCGATGGCCAGAGAGAGAGACTGGAGCTTCTCCACCAGCGCCGTGCTGGTCCGCTGCCGCACAGGCAGCCCTGCAGCCTGCCGCTGCCGTGTGCCGCTCAGCGGCCATCCGCCCGCGAATTGCCGAGAAGGGCGCGCTCTCGCGCGCGAAGCAGCCTGAGCCAAAATGGCTACGGAGAGGGATGAGGAGGACGAGGACGAGGACGAGGACGAGGAGGAGGAGGAGGAGGAGGAGGAGGAGGCGTTGCCCTAATCGAACGGGGCGCGGCGCCCCCCCACCGCGGCCGCGCGCCCCGCCAGGGCGCCCCCGCGCGTCCGCCGAGCGATCGGCGGACCGCCTCGCCCGCAGGGCCTGCCCCCAACGGGGCTGCAGCGGGACTGCCGACGCCAGGCCACGGGCCGTGGCCCGAGGCCACGTGGCCTCCACCAGGCCGAGCCCGCCTGGCACCGCAGGCTGAGAAGGCTACGAGCTGCTGACCGCACACTCCTTCGAGTACGTGCAGCTGCCGTGCGACTTCGGCAGCATCACTCAGCTATGGGAGGTTGGAAATGCTCGAAGTGCAATACTACTAATGGGAGTTCTTTCTGGTATTGTAAGCAGTGCGGTGGCGCATATCAGCAGAATGTATCAAGGAGAACATCATCGCGTGGGAAGTCCAACCAGGATGCTCGGGACAGATCAGCTAGCCGCAAGAGAAAAGAAGGGCCTGTTCGCAAAGTTATCAATGAGATTGGCCCGATGCAGCCAAATCTTGCAAGAGTTGCCGAATCGTGGATCCCACCGCCGCCGCCAGATGAAAAGGAGAAGGTTAAAGAGTACAAACAAAAGCAGTGGAAAAGGATATATCAGTTGGCGGAGCTAATCATATCTCTCAAGGCAGCTGGCAAGTCAGCCGCCATCGAGACCACGGAAGTTTCAGTTCTGAAGGCAGCAATATTACAACTTCTGCCTCAGGCCGAGCAGCAGAAGTCAATCAGCAAGCGCGCAGAGATTCTTAAAGAGAAGATACAAAGAGTTGAGAAGCAGCTGGGTGAGTTGGTCAATGAAAGAGATGATTTGCACAAACAGTTCACGTTGGCCAAAGAACAGCTCAGTATATTCGATCAGGATCAGCATAAGCATCTCTCTGCCGACATGGACTCGCATATGCAGGTTGATCAAGGCAATGTGCCTGTGCGGCCACCACCGCCGCCACCTCAGGCTCCGCAGCGCAGGAGCGCCCAAGGGACTGCGGCTGGTCTGGCCCGCCCCCCACCCCCGCCCCCTCCTCCTGCGGAGGGCCTGGGAAAGGGTAAGACCAATGCACTGTCGCAGATCACCGCCTCGCTGCAGCAAATATTGGATCAGCAGAAATGTCAGGCAGCTCAGATTCATGCACAACAGCAGGAGTCTCATATGCAGGCGATGAAATTGCAATTTCTATTTGCACAGTTTGGCGCGTCGAATGGGCAGACAGAGATTCCTCAGACTCAGGCATCGCCGAGCGCACATCAACGAGCTGCCCCAGATCATCAGCCACAGCCACAGACGATACCCTCACAGTCACAGATGCCGACCCCTGTGGCAACATCCGCACCGAGGCCCCCCATGTCGGTTCCGTCTCAGTCACAGATGCCAAAGGATGTTGCCGCAGCTGCAGCTCAGCAATGCCCAGTATCGGAGCCCTCTGCCACGGACACCTTCGACGCTGGCGATTACTATGCCAAGATGCAAGAGGAGCAGCGTCGCAGGGACCAGCTTGACTTTGATGAAGCCCAAGCAGAGGATGAGCAGAGGCGTATCGAGGAAGATGCAGAGGGGCTATTTTGTGATGGTTATCATGCGGGGTGCGATTCCAGTCAGGAGGCGGAGCTGTATAACCAGTACCAAGTTGATCAGCAAGCGAGGGCAGCAGCACAGTTTGAAGAGGAACAACGCAATATCAACGAGGAAGCTGCCGCCAAGATGGAGGGTGTTCCTCCCCCTCCACCGCCGCCTCCAGGCGCGCTGCCGGTGGCATCTCCTTCTCACTGGTACTCATCCTCGTCATGCGGCATCCCTGGTACATCACAACCCTGTGGCCCCCGTGTTGTACCACAGCAGTTCGACCTGACCGCGCAGGATGCCAAGACTGAGGAGCGTAAGGGTTCATCCACTCGTAGCAGGTCAGATGGAGGCCGTGCCGAACGCCTTCGACGCGGCAAGCCTGACGACCTCGGCAACTCAGAGGAGGTACGTCGAGAGGCAGGTTTTCACATCCCAGGCGTGGCACACGGAGGAGGCTAGCATCAGTTGGGTCTCCAGAGGTGCGGCATCAGCGCGCTGTGCACTTTGCCCCAGCGCTGGAGTTGGACACCTACATCGACGAGATTGGGGACTCCGTCGGTGAGAATTCAAGCAGTTCACATCTTCATGAAGCAGCGGGTGAAGGTGTGAGTATTGACCGCTCTAGTCCATCACGCATGCTTAGCTTCGAATTCACTCATGAGCCTAGCGGCACGCACTGCTCAGCGCACCAAGCTGCTCAAAGGGGCGCCAGGGGGTACCGACCGTCGGCCGCGGCCTTCGGCACGCACTGCCCAGCGCCTCCATCGAGTCAGCGCATGTGCGCCAGAGGGTACCGACCGCCAGGCCGTCAAAGGCACTGCCAAGAGGCTTTGGGGTGCCTGCCTTCGATGCAGTCGTCTTCTCCAGCGCCATCGGGCGGAGCGAGAGGAGCATTCACGGTCGACATCTACAATTGCATGTTCGGCCACAACGAGAATTCACCGAATTTATTTCAGGTAGGCGATTTGGCGAGGGTTAGTGCTGTGGTCCCACAGCACCATGCTGGCATGGAGATCGACAGCCCCAACGTGCACGTTGCTCGTACAGCTTCGCAGTCAGCTACGGCAGCAAATTGTCAAGTTAAGCATGTCCCGACATTACCAGAGTTGTTTGATCAGATACAGTGGCGGTTACAGCTCTCTTGGGACTACCGTGGTATGCTATTGCATCCGTTTGCTGACTTGGCTCTGCGTATGCACCCTCCCCGTCCAAGTACGGGCCAGGCCGCGCATCACGTCTATACAGACGCATCTCTGTACTCCAAGTCTCCCGAGCTGGCGGCGTTCGCGCTGGCCCGCGTCATGCAGGACTCCACGGGGTTTGCGTGCCAGGGCTATGTGGCGGCACGAGCGGCGACATCTCACTCCTTCGACAACATGGCCGAGCAGACCCACAGCACCGAGGTTGAACTTTTAGGCGTTGTCTGGGCGGCTATCTTTTCTCTCCAGTTGCCCTTGGATGAGCAGGTGTACATCATCTGCGACAATGTGGCGGCGGTCGACAAGGCTTTGAGTCGTGTGCGCTTGGTTTCTGAGTTGGACAAGATGGCGGCCACTGTTCTTAGAGACGCACAGCGTGTGCGACCGTTATCAGTGGTGCAGGAACCAGGTCACCAGGACTACCCATGGAATGAAGCAGTCGACTCGATACCCAGGCATTTTACTAAAGAATCCAATGTGCCACCAGACCTACCGCAGGTTCCACGTCAAGCACTGAAGTATACGGTAGATGCTGAGTGGCAATTTACCAGATTTTTAGATCCGAGGACATCACCATATCCGTGCTTCTTGGAAGATGGCTTTCACTTTGCAGTGCACAAACAGAAGCTACTGCAGAAGGATGATCACGGAGAAGGTGAAATGGCAGTCCTGCGTGCACCTACTTGTATTAAGTATAAGATTGCGACTTTCAACAATGTTACGATTTGCTCTGGTGATGATAATGAAGTTCCCGACAAGTCCATTCATAATTTTGCCCGACACGAGGAACGTAGAGCCCGCACAAGACATTTTCGGCTACAACTCAAAGATGGTTCTGTGCTACTGGCAGGCACCCAGGGGACATCACATCCTGCTGGTAAGTTCGAGTCCGATGGCTTCCTGGTGGTCAACTCAGGCTCGGACTCCAAAGGGCTTGGGTGTACACTTTTGGTCAACCTTGAACTTGGTTATGCACGAGGGAAGAAGGGACCACTCAAGTTGGTGACCAAGCACGTCCATGTTATACATGCAGTGGAAAGATTTCTTCCTGTTCAGATACAGGCGCCCATGATGGTGCACACAGTCGCAGTTATCCATGCTCCACATCACAAACGCGGGACCATGGACCCTCCTCAGCATGTTCGCAAATGGTGGCAAGACGTACGAGCTATCTTGGACCAGCACCCACCGACTATTATCATGGCAGATGCGAACGCTCGTATGGGCAGTGAGGTCACAGAGGTGTCAGGAAGCGTCGGGCCAACTGATTCACTAGACTTCAACGGATTTGAGCTCCAGAAGATTGCCAATCAGTACAGCATGAAGATCACGAACACGCCCATCCCTCACGAGCACCCTGAAACTTTTCGAGCGAAGCGTGGGACACTACATCGACTGGACTACATCGTGTTGCAGGACAGCATCCATGACTGTGCGAAGACCTGTTACGTCATGACCGACTTGGATTTTGGTGGCAAATCCCCCTGATCACTGGCCAGTTGTTGTCACCATAGAGGCTGCAAAATATTACACAACACCTGAAGCTGGGAGAAAGAGGCTCGACAGGCAGAAATTAGCGGATCCTATCAGGCAACACAAATTCCGACAAGCTCTCCTAGAGATGCCAGTGGCGCCGTGGACTATGGACATCAATCTGCAGGCCGACGACTTCAATTGCAAGATCAACCAGCTCACAGCTGAGTTGTTTGCCGAGGACCGCTTCTCTCCTAGGAAGCCCTACATCAAGACAGGCACTATGTCGCTTATCAGACTACGCAGGTACATATGGCGTGCACAGCAGGCGGTCTTTAGACATTCGTGGGGACCTATCTTTCTATTGGCCAGGCTCCTGCCAAGGCAATTGGACACATTCGTATACGCAAGTCGGGGCCTTGATGAGTCCTCCCAGTGTCCCTGGGAAGGCCCTATGCGCCAGCTTGCCACGGCGTGTGACTTATTTCAGGCCGAGGAGTTCACGATTGAAGAAATGCTCGCTGCTGCTCGATGCTTCATGGATACAACTGCTCGAACACTTACATGGTGCCTGAACAGAGACAGGACAGATTTTCTTACGCAGACCGCCAAGAATATTGGCGAACTGGCAATACTACACGACGGGCACCATGAATGGGTTTGGCTCCAGAGGTTACTGAGGCTCAATGGCAAGCAGGCAAAGCGATGTGACCACAATCTCCTTCCTCAGCGATTCAAGCAAGACGGTTCTGTCATCACCTCCGAGCTGGAGTGGGCCGAGGCCTTGAGGCGACACTTTGCCCAACTTGAGGACGGATACGAGTGTGCTGCATCGGCGCTGCAAACTGAGTACAACCAGCTAACTTTGAATCATGCTCTTGGCTTCCCACGGTCTATCTCAGCGATTCCGTCTCCGACATGGCTTGCCACCAGATTGCGGGGGGTCAAAGCCCACCGCGCACCTGGCCATGATTTAGTTCAGAACGCTGTCCTCAAAGCTGCGCCTGAGGCTGTTCTGCCGCATGTTCTGGCGATCACAGCTAAGACTGGGCTTCTGGTGCAGGAGGCGGCCATTCACAACGCAGGACTTGCGTGCGGACTCCACGAGGGCAAGAGCGGCAGGATGACTGCTGAGATGTACCGCTCGATCATGCTGAACTCGGACGTTATCAAGCATCACCACGCGTTCCTTCGAGCAGCCATGACGGACTGCATCGAGATACTCATGGTGGACTCGCAGACTGGGGGTATCAAGGGCCGTTGTGCTGGCATGGCTTCTCAGATGGTGAGAGTTTTCAGACACATTGCCAAGGCCAGGAAGTTTATTGCGATAGTATTGTTCGTGGATTTGGTGGCCGCCTTCCATTCGCTGTTGCGTCAGGCTGGGACCCCGCTCGAGGGAACTGAGAACTACATCAATCAAGTCCTAGACAATGCACCCGCGCTCGCACACCCGCTGCTGGAAGTGGTTCTAGCGGCGCCAGTGTTGGTCGACTCCAGGGTTGGCCAGCATCTGGTGGCGCAAGTGATTGAGGCCCATCGGCCCACCCGCTTCAGGGTGCCAGGGGATACGCAGTGGATTGTCTCACAAAGGAGCTCTCGGGCTGGCAACCCCCTAGCCGACTTCTTCTTCAATGTCGTGTATGCCCGACCACTGAGAGGAATCAAATTTGATATGCAGCAGGCTGGCATTGCTATGGACCCCAAGGATTGTATTGATGCATCCGAGCAGGTATTTTCTCAAGGCCTCACAGTGGAGAACGACACGTTCACGGACTCCACCTTCGTCGATGATTCTGGCTTTTGCTCCCCATGTTATGACCCCACAGCAGTACGTGATCAAGTATCGTTGCTCGGCAGGATCGTGAGGAAGCACATGCTGGGATCAGGTTTTCAACTTCACTTCGGGAAGGGCAAGACGGCCGCGGTTATTTCCTACAATGGCGAGGGCTCCCTGCGCGCGAAGAGGACCATGGCCAGGTTCTCAGCCATTGCGTTAGATAGCACATCGAACGATCGTATTGTCCTTGAGCAGGCTTACAAGCATGTAGGTGGCATCTACACTGGCGATGGGAGCACAGCACAGGAGGTATCTAGGAGGAAGAACAAGCACTCTACGGCACTGCGGCCCCTGAGGGCATCGGTTATCAAGTACGAGATTGCCACAAAGGACAAGCTCAAGTACATCGACGCGCTGTGCAGCACGCATTTGTTTTTTTTTCAGGCGGAGACATGGGACAAGATTTCGGCATCGTGCACGACCAAGTTGAACCATGCGTTGCTATCAGGGTACCGAGTGGGCACCAGGAAATTGCACAGCCTGCTCACTGTCGGGCGCACCACAGATTCGGAAGTATTAGTTATCGCCAACAGGATGGAGTGTTGTGATGTTTTGCGCTTCCGACGGCTACGCTACGTGGCTTGGCTGGTGCACGCAGGATCTCCTACACTGCGGCTGATCTTGGATGCAACGCTGGGTACCTCATCGTCATGGGCATCACTTGTAGTGGAGGATTTTCTGTGGCTCAAAAGGTTTTGTCATGATGCTCCAGACGACTGCCCCAGGAATATTCCAGGCATTGCTTCATGGATGAGATATGTTGCGAAAGATCTCAGAGGATTTCATAGGCACTTGCGCAGTGCCTGGACGAGCTTTTCTGCGCAGCGAATGGATCAGCACAGGGACTCCTTCATCTTGCGTAAGATTCTGTTGGTATATCCTGGGCTGATCCCAAGAGCTGATGACGGACATTCAGGAACAAGTTACTTCTGCTATGAGTGCGATCAGGTTTTCCAAACTGTTGCTGGGTATCGAGGTCACTGGACTCGTGTGCACCAGCCAAACGACATGGCGCAGTACTTTGCTGACGGTGTGGATTGCCTATGCTGTGGTGCCAGCTTCTCGGATCGATCAGGTTTGCTAAGGCATCTCAGGCGCCCGACTGGAGCATGTCTTGGCCACATTATGGCAACCACCGATCCTTTGGACGACGAGGCAGTTGCAGCATGGCAGCGTCTGGACCAGCAGTCGGCTGTGGACAAACGCACGCGTGGGCTTCGGGCGACTGCGCCAACACGACCAGCACTACCTGGCAAGAGGCAGGCTGCTGTGGTTGACGAGCGCCCGATGCCCCCGTGTGTGGAGTGGGTCCCAGCCCCATCGCTGCCACCAGCACCTGCGGAGCGCGCCCATCGGCAAGCCTATTTGTTGCACATTGGCTGGGGACCCAGAGCTGACGACGACTTCAGTAGTATTATGGGTTGCGCCACTGTTTTTGTTTCAATTGTGCTGTGTTATATATTGATCGCAGTGAACCATCAATGACATTGAAGCTGGAGGATTCGACGTTTTTAGACAATATTACTGCAAGGATTCAGTCTGGTGCCATTCTGGGAGTTCTTGTGACACCGCCGACATCATCTTGGACAGCAACGCTGAATAGTTTTGGCTCGCAGGGCTCCCCTGTGAGGCCTCGAGATCAACTGTGGGGAGCAGACCTCCTGAACAGGTTCTGGGTGAAGCAGCTGCGGAAGGAGAATGGTGCCATCAGAGCTGGTTTATTATTCTTGGCTGCTGCAGCGGCGGCAGGAGTAGCTGGAGTATTGGTGCACCATGCTTGCGTAGCTTATCGTGTGGCGTCGATCTGGCAGCTCGAGTCGGTGAAGGCGATCGCTGCTCTCCCAGAGGCCTCTGCAGTGACCTTTGATGTGGCCGACTTCGGGGGCGCGCTGTCTTCCTTCGGCCAGGCCCTGGCCGTGCGCTGCCCGCACCTCTCGGGGGCCATGCGCCTGCGTGGCCTGGTGGCGAGGCCCGCAGCAGTGCTTGAGGTGGACAGCTGGGTTCTGCCTAGGCCCTTCCTCGAGTTGCTGGGCGAGGCTTTTCTGGAGGCGCAGCCAGCGCTGAGAGGTGCGGGGACCATGCAGTGGCCGACGGATCCGTTCCTCGTCGCCATGCTCGTGCCCCCCGAGCGCTACCCAGATGTGCCATCGGACGAGGAGGCTGCATGGGAGCTGGTCGAGGGCACCCTCCTCACGTGCGGTGCGCCTCCGCACCGCGAGGGAGGCCCATGAAGGTGCTTGGTTGGAGGGCTGCGGCCAGGCTGCGGCCATCTGGCGCGTCCAGCGCTGGCGAGGTCGCGGTCTCGGACATATCCATCGTGGGCGCCTGGCGGTGGGACCGCACATGTACTTCGAGTACGGGGAGCTGCAAGGAGAGGACTCCGCAGGGGACCGCCCCTCAGGGATGGGAGAAGAAGGAAGGAGGAGGAGGAGGGACATCCCCCCTCGGTACCTCTTTTCTCAACCCCGGCGCCCTTCCTCGATCCCTCTGCGAGGAGGATGAGGATGAGGATGATGGCCCATCGTGGGGGCGGGGCTCCTGTCGAACCCCACGCCTCCCTCGACTGCATGACTTTCTGTTCTTCCGTCCGCGGGGGGGCGGGGGGGCTCGTCGCAACGACCATCTGCCCGCGCAGGAAGCCGCGGAGCCCTGGGCCCCATCGGTTCTAAGTCGACGCCGGGCCTACAGCGTTATCGATGCCCTCCTTCGGCGGACCCCCGGGAGATGCGCAGGCGCCGCCGCGCGTCTCCCCCGCGCTCTGCCCCTCGTCTGGGCCCCTCGTCCGCCCCCGGCCTTCGTGGAAATCCCCCCCCCGCCCCTGCCCCTGGAGGACCTGTCGGTTACCCCCTTCGCTCACTCCCCTCCCTCTCCCCATCTGCCTCGCCCTTCTCCGCGCGCTGCTTCCCTCCCTCTCTCATCCGCTCCTGGTCCCTCCCCCATCCCGTCCTTCCCCTCCTTTTTCCCTCCACTTCCCCCCCCCCTCTCCGCCCCAGCTCTCCTTTCCACCACCCCCTCCCCTCTCTCGTTCCCTTCCCTCCCTCGCTCCCCCCAGCCGCAGGAGGCTGCAGTGAGGGGGCGGCGCGCCCAGGCAGTGGGGGACTGGGTCACCAAGGAGGGCCAGGGGTCCGAGCTTGGGGTGTACCTCTGGCTGGACCTCTTCTCGGTCAACCAGCACAGCACCCAGGACGCCCGAGCAGCCTGACACCGTAGGCCATATGAGGCTTACGGGCCTCATTCGGTCGGGGGCCGTCGAGAGGGGGGTGGTAACCAGGGGGGGGGACATAATGGCCAGGGCTGGTTCTTTCGATGCGTCCCCTGCCCCCCCCCCCCCGCCCCCTCGTCCGCGCACATGCCTTGGGCCATGAGTTGCGGCCCCCCTTCTTGGACGCTCCCGGGGCCCGAGGAATCGTCTCCCTGGCCATGCGCAGTGCGTGCTGCGACGGTGATGTTGTCAGCGTTGATCGGGCCATCTGCGGGGAAAATCTTGGAGGCCTCGCGCGGTGCGCAATACAGTCGGCCCAGATTAGTAGGTCGACCCTGCCAAATCAAGGGTACCCTTGTGTCCTGTGCCTCGCGACTCCTGCTTCCTGCATTCCTGTGGCAATGTGGCCCTCGCAAGGGTCTTGTGTCCTCTCGCGTGTCCTGTCCAATCGAGTCCGACTGTAGTTGTGTTCACCGCTAAAGGTCTTTAGTTCTGATCTCTCCCCCCTTTCTCTCGGCGGTGAATAGGACTGGTCCTAAAAAACCTATTCCTCCTCCTCGTCCGCCTTCCTCCTCCTCCTTCTCCTCGTCGTCGTCGTTGTTGCGCGGCGGGTGCCGCGGGAAAAAAAGGAACTAGTTGCACCCTTATTGGTGGGACCCCAGTCCTTCGATAAGGCCGCCGAACACATAATTAGCTACCCCCTGACTTGGGTGGGGGGGTTCTGAAGACCTTCAGGGTTATCAAGTCCGAACGTACATCCAACACAAGTGCGAGGCACATCCGACGTGCATCTGACGTAAGTCGGGTCTCACGTTGCCGCGCCAGGCCTCCAGGCTATTCTTCGTGAGGCTATCGATCGCTGCCCTGGCGCGGTAAGGTGTGTCGGCTTCTCTTTCGCGGATAGCATCGCCATCAATTTGGAAGTCTCTTGGGGTTGCGTGGTGAGCATCATCGTGCCATTCATCCCGTGCTGACTTCTTTCCGTTGCTTGGATTTCATTGCCGCGAATCAACGTAACCGTTGTGCCCTGATAATCTTAACTTGTTCCCGGACGCTGCTTCTGGTACGTTAACCATGTGAATATGTGAAGTTCCTGCAATCGTATAAAACAATGTGCGCGGTGCGAAGGCGAGAGCCATTTTGAAAAAGAGCCGCCTCCATCCGTGAAGCTCTTGCACATGTTGAAGACGAATGTGCGCGGTGCCAAGGCGAGAGCCACATTTTGAAAAGGAACCGCCTTCAAAACCGTGAAGCTGCTGAAGATTCTAAAAATGACTGCGCGCGTCGCTAAGGCGAGAGCCACATTTTGAAAAAGAGCCGCTTTCAATCCGTGAAACTTTTGCACATGTTTAAGACGAATGTGCGTGCCGCCAACATTTCGAACGCGACCCGCCCTCAATCCGTGAAGCTCTTGCAGTGTTTAACTCGAATGTGCACGCCGCTACGGCGAGAGACACATGTTGGAAATCTCCCGCCCTTGATCCGTTAAGCTATTGCCTTTTTTAAAAAAAAACTCCATGATCATAGATGGTACGGAATCCTCAGGCGAAACATCCGGCCCGCTCTTCCGACCAACCTCGGGGTGTGACAGGGATGAGTTATTCATAAGGAGAAGGGATAAGGGATTGTGGAGGAGGAGGAGGAGGAGGAGGAGCAGAAGCAGCAGAAGCAGCAGGAGGGGGAGGGGGAGGAGGGAGGAGGAGGAGGAGGAGGAGGAGGGAGGAGGAGGAGGAGGAGAGGACGAGGACGAGGGAGGAGGAGGAGGAGGAGGGAGGAGGAGGAGGAGAGGAGGAGGAGGAGGAGGAGAGGGGAGGGGAGGAGGAGGAGGAGGAGGAGGAGGAGGAGGAGGAGGAGGAGGAGGAGGAGGAGGAGGAGGAGGAGGAGGAGGAGGAGGAGGAGGAGGAGGAGGAGGAGGGAGGAGGAGGAGGAGGAGGAGGAGGAGGAGGAGGAGGAGGAGGAGGAGGAGGAGGAGGGAGGAGGAGGAGGGAGGAGGGAGGAGGGAGGAGGAGGAGGGAGGAGGGAGGAGGGAGGAGGGAGGAGGGAGGAGGAAGTGGAGGCGGAGAGGGAGAAAGAGGAGGACGGGGAAGAGGGAACAAGTGTGCAATTACGAAGAAAGAAAAGGTTTTATCTGGGTTCATCCTTCTTGAATTTGTACCTGCAGCGCTTCACCTTTGGAAAGTGTTTACTCCATATTAAACCTCTCTACATCTGCAGCGCCCGTCTGGCGACCATGTCGCCTCTTCTCTAATTCCGCGGCGCATGTTGTTTTCACTTCCTGGGCCCCGTGCTCGAAACAGTCTCGCCCTGGGGCTGGCCATTCACAAAGGCGCAGTCGCTCCTTTCATTTGCCCTTCGGGTTTTTTGTTATCGGGGATTACTTTCTGAAGTTGCGCGGGCATCTCTGCAATCGACTCGTTTTCCAATCCAGTTCCACAGTCTTTCACGTTATGGACGACGTTTCGACAAGCTGCTCCGGGGGGTCTGCCGCCCTCCTCTTGCCCTGCTGTCTGATTATTGAGCCACCCGGTGCTTGAGCCATCTTTCCTCGCTCTTCAGACTTTCTCGCTCCGAATGTTGTTTTGTTTGGGGCTGCTGGCTCTCAGGTTACGTCGGCTCCTTTTTTCAGATACGAGCTCTCTCTAGCTATGAATCCCTTCTGCCCTAGTCTTGCAATGTTTCTTGCTCTGGAGGCTTTTTTTCCCCAGCTCTGCTGGCCTGTCTGGTTTTGGAGGTGTTTTTTCGGTCTGCAGCCTTGCTGGTTCAGTGTGCGTGTTTCTCTTGCCCTGCAGGCTTTCTGGCTGAAGTCGCTCGTCACTCTAGCTCTGATCTAGAGCGATTGCTTCTCACACGCTGCGGGCTTTCTTGTTTCGTCGGCTCCTTCTCCAGGGTCAGCAAGCGCTCGCTTCAACAACAACACAGGTGCAGTTTGCGCTCCCCTCCAAGAGGGTCTAACTCCAGAGTTAACACTTTTAACGGGATCTCTCGTCGGAGGGTGTTAATTTTGGAGTAACCATGTTCAGCGGTATTTCCGGTCTGAGCGTTAACTCCAGAGTAAACACTTTTACGCAATTGCCACCGAAAGGTCAACATTGGAAAACATGGTCCCAAATGATTATGAGTTTGATCGATATGGATTCGCAGCGGTCCATAAGCCTTCTAAGTCGGTTGGCAAGGCCGCTGAGAGGCCTTGAGAGGCTCCGAACAGGTGTTCTATAGGTCCGCAAGAGATTCCCAACATGCTCCCGACTGGTTCAAGATGATTCATGTCTTCTCCCCTTCGTCACTGATTAGTCGATTGGTTCTTCTTGCCAAGGAGGCCCGAAGACGCCAAGAGAACGGTATCCAATGGAGGCGGTTGAGAAGACATGATGATAGTGAGGATGGTGACGATGTTGATGCTGATGCTGATGCTGATGATGATGATGATGATGATGATGATGATGATGATGATGATGATGATGATGATGATGGCCTTGATGGTGATGACGATGACAACGCTGATTATTCAGGAAGGCGTTATGACACTACGGCGATCCCACGACCCCCTGATGACCACTAAGACGGCACTAAGACGGCCCTTCGAAACCGTGACGATCCCGAGACGGCCCTAATGAGATCGTCATTTGCGAGAGGACCCCATCATCTTGTGGCTGGCCCTAAGGCCCTAAGGCTACCCGGGGACAGCAGCATCAACCCGATGACGATCCCAGAGCGATGCCAGGACCCTAAGACGACCCCAATATAACCCCAATGCGACCCTCCAGCGACTTCAAAATGACCCCAACGCGACCCTCACATATCAACTTGAGTGTTGCGTCTTGACGATCCTGAACCGTGCCAGAACGCTGTTCCTGGGACTTCAGCACCGCGAATCAATGGAACTGGTGCACCCTCATATTCCTGATTCCCTCCCGAACGCCATTTCTGGCACGCTGATCATGGGAGCCCGCGAAACCCTCGCACATGTTAAAACGAATGAGCGCGGCGCGAAGGCGAGAACACCATTTTGAAAAGGAGCCGCCCTCAATCCGTGAAGTTATTGCGACTTTTAAGCGCGAATGTGCGCGGCGCTGAGGCGAGAGCCACATGTTTGAAAACCAGTCGCCCTCAATCCGTGAAACTTTTGCACATGTTTAAAACCAACGCGCGCGGCGCTAAGGCGAGAACCGCATAAAACAAACACCCGCCCTCCATCTGTGAAACTTCAGGGTCATTCATGGTGGGGAAGTCTCAGGCGAAACGCGCCGCACGCCCTGAAAATTGGCCTCGGGGTGCGACAGTAGGACATGATTATGAGGAGAAACCACTCTGCTGAACTTGAAGTCGTCATCTCCACTGCTCGCGCAA